AGAGAGAGAGAGAGAGGGAGGGAGAGGACAGGCTCCCAAAGCAACCTCCAGGAACATCAACAGTATTTCCCTAAGTTACATCCACAGTAATCCATCCCATCTGCCCAATGTATGCCACATCTCTCCTCAAACTTTACAACCTCAGACCATACTAACACAGGCCTTACCCAAAGCCATCTCCCTTTGATCCCAGAGATCCCTCCTCCCCTCTTCCCAAACCCTACTACTATTTGGAGTCCCTCACTAATTTACCTAGAAAGACCTCCGCCAAGCCATCCAATTCAACCTCAAAATTATACCACAACCTCATCAGAACTATAGTTGCATTCAGCTAAACAGCTGAACCCCAATAATCACGGAAACCTTGTTTTATCTGAAATCTATACCAAGAACCGCCCATTGTTCCACAGTGTCAACAAAAGCTCCCTCATCCCAAACTTGGACCAAGAGAACCATGAATCACACCAAAAATCTCATAACCAAATCTTAGCCCCAAAAAGAAAACCCCCTTTCAATTTATCCAGACACTTCTGACCAAAAATCATGAGTAACATCACATGTCTCCCATCTCCGCATCCCTTCATCCCCCTCATCATACATCTCCATCATAGGAGTTACTCACATCCTAACTGAATCATTGCTCATATGTCCTAGTCTCCTACTAATCCTAAGTCCTATTGAGTCCTAATATGGCCTAAAGGGGGCCCTAAGCTCCTAACTTGTATTGCAATTATTATATGCTCTCCAACTTCTAACTCTACATTCATGCATTATACAACAGATGTATACAAAGAAACAAATCAAAGCCAAGTAAAAGAGAGATAAAACAATCTCATTTATGTTCAGTACAATCAGAGGCTGACGGGGCACTACTAGAATTGCCATCAAATCGATCCCCTTTGTGTGAGACATATGGATGATTTGGGTGAGTGGTTGGTCGATGCTGGTGATGATGCAGGATTCGCAGGAGAGTTTGATTTAGAGCCAAGTTTGTGAGGCTACTGGAATCCAATCAAGGATGGTGCGGGCCACGACATCCAGAAGGAAGGGGATGAAGAAAGGGAGGAGGATGAAGAAGCATCGGCTGACTAGGAGGGGTGAAGAGGGTGACTCAGATGGTGATGACCATCAAATTCAGATGCAGCTGGTGGTGGTGGTCGGAGATGGTCGTGTTCCTGGTGCAGGTGGCGGTGGTAGTAATGATGATGAAACTCAATTTGAAATTGAGTTCATGAGATTTGTTGTCTGGAGTTTTGAGTTTTGTTTGTTTGAAGGCATTTGAGCATTGACTTCCGTGACTTTCTGTTCTGGTATATGATGGTCCATGTGGATTGTGGAATATGGATTGACTACGGCATATTGGCAGGTATTGACATATACTTCATGTAACTATTTAATTATCCATACAATTTTGAATGAATTTACTGTTAGTACAGATACAATAGCACACACGAAATATCTCAATAATATTAATTTTTTTTTCAAATATTCCTTGCATAAGTTCAATGAAGGGAGTTTGATAGCCAACCCAAACCTCCAATATCACCCTTGAGGTTCCAAACCCCATCCTATCTGTGTGGGCTGGCTGGAAAATAATGGTAACCTAGGTGCCCAAGGCCTCAGCCGTAAAAGTAGCCGAATCCGACTTCTTAAATACCACCTGGAACATTCAGGACTGGGACCCATGAAGAAGTTCCTTCTCCATTATTCCTCAAATTACTGCCCCAAAATCCTTACCACTAGTGAAACTGAACTCAACTCTCCAGACCTCTCCCTAGCCCGCCCAGTTTGGCGGAGGCATCGGAATCTCTTCTCTCCCATGGCAATTCCAGTGAGATCTGTATCATTTGGTATCCCCTAGTTTTACTTAAAACCATGTCTTTCATAAGGTTCCTTCTTATTCTCGGTGTGCTTCTCCCATATCTCAGACAATTGCAATTGGAAATTCACATTGGTCAGTGGGCCTGCAACCTGGATTTCGTGTTGAGCTTGATCACATTGCAGCTCTAAACCCATCACAACCTGATGCATCAGTGGCAACTTCAACATCACCAGGCGGACCTTCGAAAAAAACAAAGTATAATCATATCACAGCTAGCAATGTTTGCCTTCTGTCTGACTCCCCCACTCCCACGAAACTTGATAGATATCTTGTTCTCTGAGTGGTATGATTCCCAGGGGTTCACGCCAGATATCTTCCAAAACTTATCTCTAATTATAATTCCATCCTCGAGGATAAAGAACCCTCTCTACAAGACCAAGGTCATTCTGCTTTGAACTCTGTGTGGTTGGAACATGGAGACCCGCAACCATTGATATCTAGGCAATTATGCTTTGAGATGGATGGCCTAACTGCATTCTCTCTAAGAAACTTCAACTACATGAGCAACTTGAACCTCAGGGTGAGAAAGGAAGCTCTTCTCAGGGAAATCAATGAACTTAACTAACCAAAGATACCAGAGATCTAACACCAAAGGGAAGAAAGACACAAACAGAGGCAAAAACCGACGTCTCCTTGGTCCCAAAGGAAGAAGAGCATCTTTTGGTTTCAACAATCACCAATCAAATGGCTTGAGGATGATGATCAAATACAAGCTTTATTTCTAAAGATAACAAATTAGCAGCAAAGGAACAAGCTGTGCACAGAGAACAAAACACCATTGTCCACATCAGTGAGGGCAGACATATCTTCAAAACGCAGAGGGGTAAATCAAATCATAAGCAGCTACTTCAAAAACCTGTTCTCCACTGAGGTTTAGGCTAGACCAAAGATTGGTACCTATAACATCTCCAAGCAGTGTTCCAAAAGGCGGATTCCGCTTCCTAGGTGACTGCCCAGCTCTGAGATACCTGGAAGGCCCTAGAGCAGTGTATTATATAATATATATATATTAATATTATATATATGTCGGTGGAGGCGAACGGCGACGACGAAGGGAGTAG